CCTATGATTATCTCCTTATACCCCCACACTCGCCCCCCACATGCCTAATTTGGTTCCATTTGCTTGATTAGTTCTCGAGTTATGCAGAAATTTCTGTTTCATTTGTATGGGAGCCCCCCCTTACAGAAGGGGGAGGGGTCTCGAACCATCATAAGAACCTTCCACGGCCCCAAAAACCCCTTGTTAATCCCGCCACGTCCAATGGCCCGACGAGCCCCAGCAGCCCCACCGCTACCACTGTGACGGACGCATACACCTCAACGCGACCACACCCGTGCGTTGGTCAGAGGATCGTCGATCGTATGAAAGTCAAGCGGTCGACGGGTAAAATATGAAAACAAGCCAGAACAATAGCTGAATCGAGGAAGTAAAAAGTAAAATTAATTCTACTCGCAAGTGGTGTTACCTTAATCTACCTAATTTATACTGTTAAACTTAAATACTATCACTATCTAACGTGGCGATTGAACTAGACTACAGTATCTTGATTAACTTATAATACTTTGAACTTATCTAAGCTACCTACAGCTGAAGAAAACCTTAACTTATAACCATAATATCTTGCTCTATGCAAACTAATTACTGCGGAACGAATCACCAAAAGAATTTGTAATTTTTTCCATTTCGATCAATCTGCCGGAATAAAATTCACGGCTTCAAAAGATTCGTTTTTACCGCCCAACATCCTACAAATTCTTTTGTGGCAAACTTTACGATGTCTGGCAAGGGATCGAAGTCTGGATCGGCCAAAGGCGACCTCGCTAGAACTACGCTCACTGATCGTCGGGAAGACGGAGCGAGCGCGATTTATTCGTCAGCGAGGACCTCGTCTGGCATAGCCGACCCAATAGTCAACACAACTGCAGTTGCTCCTATCAACAGCCCCATTGTCGCTGCGAGTGCACCGAATGCTGCAGCGGTCGCGACGTGCGATGCAGTGGGTTTGACGAACCAGGTAGCCAGCGCATTGCACACTGCAGCAGTAGTCTCGGCTGATCCGGTAAGGACAGGAAATCCCCCTCCTACCCCCCAGGTAAATGATGACGTTGTTGCAAATAAAGTGTATGCCATGAAGAAAGGAGCAGTTCCGAAGCAATCGGCTTCGACTGTCAACCCTAAAGTTAAATCTGTCCCTTCCAATCTACACGGAAAGGACGTTGTCAGACGCAATCCGGTACGTCATGTGCGGCATATCGGTTCAATAGCTGTGAGTTGTGTGCAGAAAGTGATAATAGTAGAATGGTGCAGTGTGATGGTTGCGAGAGATGGTTCCACTTCTGCTGCGTGGAAGTTACTGAAGGAATAGCAGAAGTTAGTTGGAACTGCCCAGTGTGTCCAGTAGGGCAGAGCGAAGTCAAACAATCAAACCCAGCGGAAGACGTCCAAGCAGTAGTGCATGCTGCTAATCCAACCCCAAAGGACTCTGGCGATGCGAAATCAAGCGGAAAGAAAAGCAGCAAACGGAGTTAACAGCGGAAAATTGACTTGAAGCTGCAGAAACTCGAGGAGCAGAGGAAGCTGGAACAAAAGTTCCTGGAAGAAAAGTACAGAATTTTGGAAGAGGTGGAAGATGACAGTGAGACGGATTTGGACAACGAGGATCTCGAGAAAATGTCTACAGTTTCGCAATGGATCAAAGATACGGAACGCGGCGGAGTAGTTCAAGACTCTGGAGTCGAAGAAGAGAATCTTTCGGAAGAACCGAGGTTTCCACCTGGACTCGCCGATCAGTCAGTAGTGGTCGACCAACGACAAGTAGGACAGCAACATCGTTCGCAAGGAGGGCGGCGTAACACCATACCAGATTTCGCTCCCGAACAACGTTCTACGCCACAGACGCGGCTTCGTCCAACGGATCCTACCTCTCAGCGTTACTCTACGTTCCCGGCATCCATGTTAAGACCGCAGTTTCCCCCTCGACCATCAGTGACCGGTCCAACGCTCACGGCAATGGAACCTGAACCAATTCCTGTCGAGGAGACCATATGTATCCTCAACCGAAGCCAGATGGCCGCCAGACAAGCAGTATCTAAGGACTTGCCTGAATTCTATGGAAACCCCGAGGACTGGCCACTTTTCTTCTCGATGTTCACCTCATCAACACAGATGTGTGGCTTTTCCAATGAAGAGAACATGCTTCGTCTACGTAAGTGCCTAAAAGGAAAGGCACTGGATGCTGTAAGATGTTGGTTGCTACATCCTTCCAACGTGTATGGTGTCCTTACAACACTGAAGATGCTCTACGGCAGTCCAGAAGCGATCGTTCAAGCAGCGATAAGGAAAATTCATTCAGAACCACCCCCGGAGATCGATCGTACAGAGAGTCTGGTCTACTTTGCGCTCACTGTCGAAAATTTAGTAGCAACGATAGAAGCCTGTGGGGTACAGGACTTCGTGTACAACGCCTCACTCAAGCTCGAGTTGGAACATCGATTACCGTCGATGCTGAAGCTGGACTGGGCGAAATACACTAGAGGCAATCCGGCCACAAATCTCGTGGACTTCAGTACCTGGTTATACTCCATGGCGGAGGATGCAAGCGCAGTCATGCAGACGTCCATCAACGCTCCACGAAGTCGAGTCAACAAGAAAGATGGATTCATCAACGTCCACACCGAAACTAGCAACGATCGATCCGGATTCTCTGCAGCTCCAGCTAAAGATACGCGTACCCAATCGAGAGATTCTCTAAAGGAATGCCTTGTATGCAAAGGTTCTTGTCCGTCACTTGCTAAGTGCAAAAGGTTCGTCGAGCTGAGCTACGAGTCGAAGTGGGCAGTAATACGGGAAGCGAAGCTGTGCCGTAAGTGTCTTCGCAAACACAACGGCACCTGCAGACAGCAAAGTAAATGTGGAGTTAGAGAATGTACCTACCTGCACCACCCTTTGCTTCACTCCGAGAGAACCGAAGCCTCCAGAAACGGCTCCCGGGTGGAAGCTGCTACGAACACCAGTTGTAACGTTCATCAAGCGCAGACAAACGACGTGCTATTCCGGATTGTTCCAGTTGTGCTCCACGGTCCGTCGAAGATGATTCAGACGTACGCTTTCATCGATGATGGGTCCGAGCTAACCCTCATGGAGCATTCTCTTGCACAGGAGCTTGGGTTACAAGGACCAAACAAAGCACTCTGTTTGAAATGGACAGGTGGTAGCAGAAGAATGGAGAACGAATCTCAAAAGGTAGAGGTGGTCATCTCTTCTGTGAGAAATACATCCCAAAAGTACAAACTGGCGGATGTTCGGACTATACATGAGCTGAAACTCCGGCCACAAACCCTGATAGCTTCGGAAATGCAGAGTCAGTATAGTCATCTCACTGGGATCCCCTTCGATTCCTACACTGAAGTAAGTCCGCGAATCCTGATTGGACTGGATAACGCGCAACTTGGGCATGCGCTCAAGAGTCGCGAAGGAAAACCATCCGAACCGATTCCCGTCAAAACCCGTCTAGGATGGATCGTGTACGGGAGCTGTTCGTCCAATCATCTCAGAAATCATGTAAACTACCACGCTGTACAAGCGTGCGAGTGCAACGAAGGTTCTGACGAAAGTCTCCATGCAGCAATGAAAAACTACTTCACTCTCGATAGCATGGGCATCTCTAAGCCTGACAAGTTACCGCTCTCCGTAGACGACCAGAGTGCTATGGAAATTCTGGAAGTGGTGACACTACCCAAGGACGGCCGCTATGAATCAGGCCTTCTTTGGAAGTATGACGCAGTGCGGCTTCCCGATAGTAAAGCTATGGCTCTCAGGAGATGGGAGTGTTTAGAGCGGCGGATGAAGAAGGACGAAGGATTGGCGGAGGCACTACGTGCAAAAATGGCCGAGTACGTCCAGAAAGGGTATGTCCGGAAACTGACCGGAGATGAACTGAGGCATCGTCAACCGCGTGAGTTGTATCTGCCAGTGTTTCCGGTCTATAATCCCAACAAACCAGGAAAATTGAGGTTGGTTTGGGATGCAGCAGCTACCGTCCAAGGAATCTCCTTGAACTCGGTTTTACTGAAAGGACCCGATCAATTGATGTCTCTACTGTTAGTCTTGATTCAGTTCCGGGAGTTTCGAGTCGCGGTATGCGGGGACCTACGAGAAATGTTCCACCAGGTGTTGATGAGGGAGGAAGACCAGCATTGCCTGCGATTCTACTGGAAGGAAGATGCGGAGGATGGTGCGCCGGATGTGTATGTTATGAAAGTGATGACATTTGGCGCCTGCTGTTCGCCTACGACAGCCCAGTATGTTAAAAATATCAATGCGAAACGATTCGAACACGAGTGCCCGCAAGTCGTCGATGCCATTGTGAGGAAGCATTATGTTGGCGACATGCTTGCCAGCGTCGAAACGGAGGAAGAAGCTGTAAAGCTGGCACAGGACGTGAAACGCATCCATGCCGCAGGAGGTTTCGAAATGCGAAATTGGCTGTCCAATTCATCGACCGTACTGGCGTCCCTGCAGGCGGCAGCGACTAACGAAAAGAACCTCAGTGCTGGAGAAGAAGGAAACGTCACCGAAAAGGTGTTAGGCCTTTGGTGGAATACGACTACGGACTGTTTCACTTTCAAGGTGTCTCCAAGGTACGACCAGGACCTGCTGTCCGGGGACCGTCGACCCACTAAACGTGAGGTGCTTCGAACGCTTATGATGATGTTCGACCCGCTTGGCTTCATTACGCACTTTCTCATGTACCTCCCGCATAATCAAAAACTATTTATGAAGTGGTTCATACTATAGAAATGATTTAAGTCGTGCCGTTACTTCTTGAGTTATCATTCATTTATACTTTTACTGTACGCTCTTATCGGTAACGTATGGTAAAACATTTTATGTTGTCAATACTACATATTCTTAAAATATGGTATACCATCCAACGATAAGTATTTATTTTCCCTTTGAGAAAACCCTCATTCAAAAAATGCTATAATATTCTAACTGAACTGTCACAGACATGGTTATGATACGGTATATAATCCAAATACTATCATTAATCATCCTCCATTAATCACAATAGATCGAAATTACACGCACACTGGGATCTACTGAATCCTAATATGATGATAAAATGATAAGTGGAATAATTTATGTACTTGTATTAGTGAACAAGTTTACCCTATTTTAGTTTTGCTCCAGTTGCTTCACGCCATGTTGATTTGAAAATCTAGAGTGTAAAACAAAAGTGTTTTACTTAATTCAATTATGTACAAATTGTTGTCTTCAATAAATTATGTTGTCTTCAGTATGAAGTGACTCCCGGGAAGATCAACCAAGGCTGGTGAATAAATGTACAAGGTAAAAAGCTATTCTATCATAAGCTTACATTTTTCTTACGCAAAATTGATCCTTTGCAGTTACTGTGAATTTCTTTACCGGAAGACCTCATCGGTGGCAGCTACTGCTGCTGGATGGCAACCGTGAGATATTCGGCACCCGTTTGGCGCTGTTCGGCGACTTCTTGGGACCTTACTCGTTTTTTTTTTGTGGTGGCCGTTTCAAGTTGAGTAAATAGTACTGAAAGTGCTTGCAGCTGATTGACGAGTGGCATGATGTGGTGGATTACGCAGTTGCGGCCGTGACCCGGTAATACCGGTGTGAAACCACTAGCGATGGTCCGTTAAGATCGGCACGGACCGAGTATACTTATGTTATGTTATGTTTTATACATCGTGTTCTGTGCACAATAGTGCCATTTGATATGTTATATGAAAATGAATTGCTATTGGTTGTTACGTTTAATGTAAAGCGGTAGTTTTTTTACTTTTGTTTTGTTTTATTGAAGGTGGATTTTTCTTAAGAATAAATTAGTTTTTACACAAAACTGAATCGTTAGCCTAAGGCTGAATTCGATCTCACATTTACTGTCAACATGGTACCACTATACTAGCAGTTCACTTAAATAATGGTATCATGCTGTCAGTAGTTGTAAGATTAAGGTCAGTCATAATCCCTGATCCAAGAAAAAGGAATAAATACGAACTATATGGAATATAGTAAGTGCTTATCGAATTTAATCGTTTGAATATAACACGAAAATACACCATAATGTTAAATTACCTAAATGAACTATTAACACAGTATAACGTTTACTTTCCTTTTTAAAACCAAATTTAATAATCCAAATATTCCAGAATGTTATGACATATAGTTCTATGATTTTAAAGTTGATTATACAAGAGCTATATGTCTTGTATTACACCTGAAATTTTGTTCTGAAATATCAACCTTATTGAATGGTAATTATACTTAACCGCCTTTATCCCATATAGTTGTTTTGCATAATACAATATATGGTATCCTAAGGACAATTTATGGTATTGTATGCTTATCATTTTTATACACGCTGACTAGAATCGTACATATATACTTATTTATGGTACATAATGATACTGTGAATCATCCCTTTATTGTTTACGATTATGCGGGCTGAAAGTACTGCTGCAGGAGATTTGGAGATCCTCGGTTGATTGGGACACCCCCATTGAAGAACCACAGTTCCAGAAGTGGCTGACATGGTTGAAGGTTCTGCCGGAGGTAACCAACGTCCAGATTCCACGGTGTTATAGAGCGTCTGTGTCACTAGGAAGCAACTGCAAAGTTCAAATGCACACGTTCGTTGACGCGAGTGAGAACGGCTTCGCAGCGGTAGTGTATCTCAGGTTCGAAGAAGGAGACGCAATCGAAACCGCGTTCGTGAGTGTAAAAACGAGAGTTGCCCCGTTGAAATTCCTTTCCATTCCCCGCTCCGAGCTTCAAGCCAGTGTCCTCGGAGTTCGCTTAGCGAAAAGCGTCGCCCAGTCACTATCCGTTAGGGTGTCAGAACGCCTTTTCTGGACAGACTCCAGAGACGTTCTATGCTGGCTGAACTCTGATCACAGAAGATACAGCCAGTTCGTAGCATTTCGGGTGAGCGAGATACTGGAAACGACTGATGTGAAGGTTTGGCGATGGGTTCCCACGAAGCTGAACGTGGCCGACGAAGGAACCAAATAGACTCACCGCCTCCAGCCGCTGGTTTCAAGGACCGGAATTCCTGAGGCAGTCTAAAGCAGAATGGCCGTCTGGCCTGCGATGTGGAATGACGGATGTGGAATGACGGATGTGGAATGACGGATGTGGAACTGCGTGCGCACTTATTAACGCACGTCTCCACGGCCGAATCAATTGTTGAAGCACAAAACTTCTCCAAGTGGACAACGATACTACGGAGTACAGCGTACGTGTTCCGGTACATATGCAACTCAAAGCAGATGGTCAAGACGAAACAGCGAACCGGTGGACCGTTGACGCAACAGGAATTATACAGGGCCGAGAACTTTCTCTATCGCCTCGCCCAGAGTTGCGAATACGTCGACGAGCTTGCGATCCTCGTCAGTAATCGCCGAATTGGATCGGAGAAGAAGTCGATTCCAAAGTGCAGCTCTATTGCCTACTTCCGTCCGTTTCTCGATGAATACGACGTGCTGAGAGTCCGTGGCCGTACCGCTGCCTGCCCGTTGATCGACTACGATGCAGTCAACCCTGTCATTCTTCCTCGTAACCACCATGTCACACGGCTGATAGTCTCTCACTACCACAGCAAATATCACCACCAAAACCACAACACAGTCCTCAACGAGATTCGCCAGCGATACAGGATTCCTCGCCTCAAGTCCGTATACTACACGATCCGGAAGCAATGCCAAAAATACATGAACGAAAGGGCAACTCCACAACCACCGACCATGAGTGATCTGCGGCCATCACGTCTGGCTGCGTACTCTCGTCCGTTCACGCATATGGGGGTGGATTATTTCGGGCCGATCATGGTATCCGCCAACCGTAAAACAGAGAAACGCTGGGTGTTGATAGCTACCTGCCTGACCATCCGCGCCATACACCTGCAAATTGCACACACTCTAAATACCGATTCCTGCATCATGGCTCTACGCAACGTCATAGGTAGGAGGGGTACACCGGCGGTCATCTATAGTGACCAAGGAACTAACTTTCGAGGCGCTAGTAAGGAGCTGAAGGCCGCTATGGAGAGTTTGGATCAGGAACGCTTGATGATCGAGTTCACGACTCCTCACACCAGCTGGAGTTTCAATCCACCAGCCTCCCCGCACATGGGTGGAGCGTGGGAACGTCTTATCCGTACAGTCAAACAGAACCTCGGGAAGATCCTGCCAGCCAGCACGCTCTCGTACGAAGTCCTTGAAAACCTGCTCATAGAAGTCGAAAACGTGGTTAACTCCCGACCGCTGACCAGCATTCCATTGGAAGACGACAAATCCCCGGTGCTCACACCGAACCACTTCTTGCTGGGATCGTCGAACGGTTTGAAGCCGTGGCTACCTTTCGACGACAGTCCTGCGGTACTCAGGAACTGTTGGCAACGCTCTCAGACCTTGGCCAACCAGTTCTGGAGACAATGGGTTCGAGATTATCTGCCGTCGATCACTCGCCGAACCAAATGGTTTGGCCCAGTGAAACCCATCGAAACCGACGACATCGTCGTCATCGTGGACCCGAACTTTCAGCGAAACTGCTGGTTAAAGGGACGCGTAATAGCAACAAAGCCAGGAGCCGACGGCCAAGTGAGGTGCGCAACCGTCCGGACCATTAGTGGTATCTATGAGCGTCCAGCCGTGAAGCTCGCCGTGCTAGACGTAGGCGTCTGCAAGCATACGCCTCAGGACGACCATCGGCGCATTCCGGGAGGGAGTGTTAATCCCGCCACGTCCAATGGCCCGACGAGCCCCAGCAGCCCCACCGCTACCACTGTGACGGACGCATACACCTCAACGCGACCACACCCGTGTGTTGGTCAGAGGATCGTCGATCGTATGAAAGTCAAGCGGTCGACGGGTAAAATATGAAAACAAGCCAGAACAATAGCTGAATCGAGGAAGTAAAAAGTAAATTTAATTCTACTCGCAAGTGGTGTTACCTTAATCTACCTAATTTATACTGTTAAACTTAAATACTATCACTATCTAACGTGGCGATTGAACTAGACTACAGTATCTTGATTAACTTATAATACTTTGAATACTAAGTTAAGAAAACCTTAACTTATAACCATAATATCTTGCTCTATGCAAACTAATTACTGCGGAACGAATCACCAAAAGAATTTGTAATTTTTTCCATTTCGATCAATCTGCCGGAATAAAATTCACGGATTCAAAAGATTCGTTTTTACCGCCCAACACCCCTGTATACAAATTTTCACGCCAATAGGTTCAGTAGTTTCCGAGTCTATAAGGGTCAGACAGACAGACAGACAGAAATTCATTTTTATATATATAGATAGATAGATAGATAGATAGATTATAATACTATCATTAGTAAAGCAAACAGAATGCTAGGCTTCATCAAAAGGTTCATTCATAATTTCAAAGACCCATACACCATTAAGTTATTATATACCACATATGTAAGGCCAATTCTGGAATACTGCCACCTAGTATGGAATCCATACATTTCCATACACGAAGAACGCATAGAATCTGTCCAAAAACAATTCCTTTTATATGCTTTACGTAAATTGAATTGGAATGCTTTTCCATTACCATCTTATGAAGCGCGATGCATGCTCATCAATATACAAACACTTAAGGAGCACCGCCAATTTGCAATGCTTTTCTTCATCAACGACATTATTTCAATGCGCATAGATTCAGCAGAAATTCTCGCACAATTAAACTTTTACACACCTTGTCGATATCTTAGAACACGGAATTTATTTTCAGAAAAATCGTACAGAACAAACTATGCAAAAAATAGCCCAATCAATCGAATGATGCGCCTATATAATTTGCATTGCGGAACTATTGACATCACTATGTCCAAGCAGCAAATAAAAACTAAGCTAAAACAGAATAGAATTCAGGCATAACATTTGATAACGGCACAAAAGCATTTGTAAACAAACATTTTTTTTTTTTTTTTTTTTAATAATTCGTTTATTTTTCCAGGCTCATTTGCTGTAGCTTTGCGGAGCCGATATTCATTGTTTAGATAACAAAATTACTTAAAACTAACGTTAGTAAAGCGGGGGCCGATTACTCGCGGCTATCTCGAGGTTAGGGGTAACAAATTGTAACAAATGGATGGCAGGGTAGGGATTGTGAACACAAGGTTTGGAGAGCAATGTGCTCTTGATCTCGAACTAGGCGACACTCTGATGAAAAAGACAAACATGGGGGTACACCGATGGGTAGCTAACAACTTGGGAGAACACAAGATGACACTAACTTCTAAATCCTCAAATCTATCCGTTTTAAAAACACATAAATTAAATTCAAATAGTCAAGGTCTCGGCTCGCCAAGACATCTCTAACGGGTATCGCGGGTTGTTTTCCTCGGGCCCTGAGGGATGTGGATAACTCAGATCTGGCAACACGGTGTAAGGTACACGACCAAACAACATGCTCGATATCGTGATAACCACTGCCACACGCACATAAATTGCAGCCTGAGAGCCCAATTCGATAGAAGTGCGAGTCTAACGAGCAGTGATTGGACATAAGCCTTGAAATAACGCGTATAAAGTCGCGGCTCATGTCCAACCCTTTGAACCATGGTTTGTTCGACACCTGTGGGAGAATAGAATGTAACCATCTTCCCAATTCACCATCATTCCATTTTTGTTGCCAACTGATGAGGACTTGCTGGCGAGCAATGGAGAAAAATTCGTTGAAGGCGATTTGTCGCTCAAAAATATCGCCTTCCATAGCGCCCACCTTAGCCAATGAGTCCGCTTTCTCATTACCCGGAATTGAGCAATGAGATGGGACCCAAGCTAAGGTGATAGTATAGGAGCAGTTAGATAAAGCACTCAGTTTAGATCGTATTTCAGGCAGGAAATACGAGGAGTGCTTCATCGGCCTCATTGAACGAATAGCCTCCAATGAGCTAAGACTATCCGTAAAAATGAAATAATGGTCAGAAGGTAGTGAGGCAATTCGCTCTACTGCGTAAAATATAGCTGCGAGTTCCGCAACGTATACGGAGCATGGTTTCTGCAGTTTATAGGAGGCGCTATGAAATTGATTAAATACACCAAATCCAGTGGAAGCATTTATGGTTGACCCATCTGTGAAAAATCTTTTATCGTTACTTACATGGTGGTACTTGATTGCAAAAATTGAGGGAACAACCATCGACCGATGGTGATCTGGTATTCCATGGATTTCTTGCATCATGGTCAGATCAAAATTTACAGAGGAACTATAGAAGGCTTGGAAGCAATCACGATTGGAGATTAATGAAGAAGGACCAACCTCCAGCGTCATGTACTCATAGTACAAACTCATGAATCTTGTTTGAGGATTTTGGTCGAGCAGCTTCTCAAAGTGTTCTATTACCAAAGGATTCAATACTTCACAACGGATGAGGAACCGGAAAGACAGCTCAGCGAAACGATCTGTCAGTGGGAGAACACCCGCGAGTACTTCGAGGCTCATCGTATGCGTCGAGTGCATACAGCCAAGCGCGATTCGGAGGCAACGGTATTGAACTCGTTGCAGCTTCAAGATATGTGTTTTCGCCGCGGATTGAAAGCAGAAGCTACCGTACTCTAGAACCGACAAGATGGTTGTTCGATACAACCTGATAAGATCTTCCGGGTGTGCTCCCCACCAAGTTCCGGTAATTGTACGAAGAAAATTGATTCTTTGTTGGCATTTTTGTTTTAGATACGCAATATGTTTTCCCCATGTGCATTTGGAATCGAACCAGACACCTAAATACTTGAAAGATATACTTTGAGTGATTGTTCTACCCTTTAGTTGAAGCTGTAACTGTGCAGGATGATGCTTCCTAGAAAAAACAACCAACTCAGTTTTCTCCGGAGAGAATTCGATACCCAGCTTCATAGCCCAAGTAGACAAATTGTCTAAGGTATCTTGCAATGGTCCTTGCAGGTCCGGTGCACTTGGCCCTATAACGGACACAACGCCGT